TGTTGTTTAAAAAAAGCCTCATTCACATGATGTGCTGTTGTTCCTGTCTAGGGTAATTCTGGGTATAACTGAGAGTATTGTCATCTGGGATAAGGGTGATACCTAAACTGTTGTCTTCTAGGTACTACTGTTGCTGTCGAACACGTGGCTGTACCAGCACCATCTAAGGCTGCTTGTAGACCGTCCTAAATATTCTATGTCCCTCTACTATCATCACTTTAAATTGTTGTTTTTTACCTTATGGAATGTCCAAAATAAAATAATTGAATCTAGAGTAGTTTCTGTGATCGTATTTGCTCAACAATGCAGCACAGTTGGCAACTCAGAATTCAAGCGTGGAAGACGTATAGACCTTATGGCCAAATAAATCCAACCTCTAGCTATCCCGATGTGAAGATGTGGATCTAAAGTGCCACTACTTATTTTTTCTGATGAGTGGCCTCCACTTCAAGTGAATTTGGTACAGGGTGTATAAAGAGAAATTCAAATCTCTTAGGTGAGATGTAATACTTTTTTCCATTCTCCTGCACATGGGGGTGGCAGTGGCAGGTGTTCTCCAAATAGTTTTAGTAGGCTCCACAATTGCAGGATTAATGGGTAACACTAATTGGATGACATGACTGATTGTAAAATGTCTGTCAGTTCGTGTTGGTTCTCCGCTACCTCCTGCATGTGATGTTCAGTTCTTCAGAGTTGTGCTTGAAAAGGTCCTGGAAATGGGAAAAGTCATCAGCAGTGGTTGGACGCGAAGGCATGACAGTTTCATCTGGTGACAAAGATGCATTAGTATTCAGTGATGTATCAGGAGATGGGTAACTGTGGTTGTCTTCAGGGGCTTGTTGATGTTGTGGGAAAAGTGATTGCAGTGGAGGAGACTATTGGGGTACAGTGTGTCGCTTCTTTGCAAGATGGTGTCTATGACTGACATGTCAAGGGCTCCAATATTGCTAGTGTGGATAAGGCATCAGAGGTGGCATTCAAAGGTTATCATACCATTGTGGCAAGTCCCTATGCTTACCGTATGGTGGATGGGTTCTGGCAGAATAAACAGAGTGGCCTGTCAGAGGGGAGTTGTGTGGAGAAAACACATCAACATCCTCATCTGAATTGCTGGAAAATTTTTCTGGAGAGAAAGTTGGTTGGGTGCCCGGTGAGTGATGGGTGCTGAGAAACGGTAAATTAAAGGTGGATGATACCATCAGGTCTCTACATTGTGTGGACTGTTGAGTTGGAGTTGACAGTGCTGTGGTTGGTTGCACAACAGCAATTAGCAGTGCCAGATGGATCCTCAGTGTTGAGCACACCAGCAATGTGGTCTGTGCTGTTGTAGCACAAGCTGATGGCATGGGGGTTGGGTGAGATGCTGGTATGGTGTTGTCAGTACCGGGCAGTGCTGCAGGATGGCAGGCAACTTGAAGCCTATAGCTTCGGTACGGGATTTTAAAGAACCTGCTCTCATCATGGTAACGGCAGTGCTGGATACTGCTGGTATGTGGAATGTGCTAAGGCGCAGAGGCTCCATTGTTTTCGGCACCATAGGCCATTTGCTGGGTCTAAAATCATCCTTTTATTTATAGCGACAGCAACACATCCAAGATACCAGATGAAGAAAAATACAACAGTTGGATTCTTCTGAACATGTTCTAACAGACTCCTAAGGATTTCTATTAACCACATGCAATGATCTTGGAATGTTTAAAAACTGTCAGTTTTAAGGAGGGTGGAGGGAAGTATTGCTTCATCCAAAGCTGATGTTCCATATCATGATCATCTTCAGCCATTGCTGTTTCTCTGAGATAGTTCATGGATTGGTTTAATAATACTCAGGGTCCCAATACAAAGTCTATCATCACAACACAAAAAGTTCATACTTGGCTCTGGCTCTTCTAAAACACCTAGAGCTCCTCTTCTTGTTCCAATCTGCTCCTCTCAAACTCCAAGTTCTTCCTAGCTGGACCTCAGCCTTCTAGCTCTGTCCTCCATGCCAAAATCCAATCAGGGTTCCCACAGGAAGGGGAAGTTACTCACCAGGTGTAGTAACGATCGTTCTTCGAGATGTGTCCCCGTGGGTGCTCCATGTCCCGCCCTCCTCCCCGCTCCGGGTCTGTTTTTGTCTCATTGCAGATTCCGGACGGTGACAGGAACTGGCGGGGGGGCCGGACCGCGTGACTGAAGAAACCGTGCGAAGCCTGCCGCGCATGCGCGGTCCGGCCAGTTACGGCTACGAAAAACCTCCGATCAGCGGCGCCGGGACGAGCCCGACACCCAGAGTGGAGCACCCCCGGGTGCTCCACTCTAGGTGAGTACCAAGCAGTAACCTCCATGCGCACCGGGTCAGTGTTCCTCCGTAGAGGCTAGAACTGCGGACGCTACTGCTGCGTCCGAGGACCAACGTCGTACAATAGCATAATGATGAACAAAGGAGGACCAGGTGGCTGCTCGGCAGATGTCGCTGAGAGGCACACCTCTAGCAAATGCAGTGGAGGTGGCCATTGCCCTAGTGGAATGCGCAGCAGGCTGAGAAGCGAGAGGTTTTCCCTTCAGTGAATGACAGGTTGTAATGCAAGCGGTAATCAACCTAGCTATGCGTTGACTGGAAAGAGGGTTGCCTTTAGAGCGCTGTGCTATGGACACAAGTAGTCTGTCCGTGCGTCTCCATGAGCGTGTTCTGTCTATATAAAACGCGAGTGCTCGTCGCACATCGAGCATGTGCAGCAAAGTTTCTGACGAAGAAGCATGCGGTCTAGGGTAGAAGGCAGTTAAAACTATGGGTTCATTAATATGAAAGGAAGTGTTGACCTTGGGGATGAACGCTGGGTGTAGACGTAAGGTCACTGTGGTCTTTGAAAAGGAAGTGTAGGGCGGACTCGCCATCAACGCCCCTAGCTCGCTCACTCTACGTGCGGAAGTGATAGCCAATAGGAATACTACTTTCATCGTTAACATTCGGAGTGGTATTGATGCCAACGGTTCGAAGGGGGGATGCATAATTGTCTGTAGGACCAAATCGAGGTTCCAGGTTGGTGGAGGGGGCCTGTGGGGTGGATGCAAGTTTGTTAGGCCTTTTAGAAACCTTTTTGTAATTTGGTGGGAAAAGATCGAAGAACCTTCAATGGGAAAATGAAAAGCACTAATAGCTGCCAAATGTACTGTCAGAGACGAAAGAGAAAGTCCCGAGCTCTACAGGTGGATGACGTAGCCAAGGATATGGTGTAGAGGAGTGCCCTGAGGCTAGATGTTGCTGCGAGAGCACCATTGCGAATATTAACGCCATTTTGCAAGGTAAGTACTCTGAATGGATGATTTTCTACTGTGTATTAGTACCGTTTTGACTTGATCTGAACAGAGGTCCTCTCCTGGCCTGAGCCCGTGAAGCGACTCGAGTCTGGGATGTAAGAGGGCTCCCTTCTGCTGGGATAACAAGTCTGGGTGAAGGGGAAGTGTCCACGGTGGGCATATCGACAGCCTGTGTAATAGCGGGTACCATGGTTGTCTCGGCCATGCCGGAGATATTAAGATGACTGTCGCTCGCTCGAGCATTATTTTCTCGAGCGTTCGCGGTATTAGGACCGTCGGGGGAAATGCGTAGAGGAGCGGTCCCGTCCAAGTCATTAGAAGAGCATCGCCCAGAGACCCTCTTCCGGTCCCCGCTCTTGGCATTCTGCATCGTGGCAAAAAGGTCTAGCTTCGGAGTTCCCCATCTGCGAAAGATGTGCTGAAGAACGTCTGCCCTCATTTCCCACTCGTGATCTACCGGGAATCGTCTGCTTAACGAGTCCGCAATAACATTGCTGATGCCAGGTAAGTACGATGCCATGATGGTTACATCGTTCCTTATGCACCAGTTCCACAACCGTACTGCCTCCGCACAGAGGGAACGAGATTTGGCACCCCCTTGTCGGTTTATATAGTACATCGCCGCCACATTGTCTGTGAGTATCCTGACAGCAGTATGCCGTATGCGTGGCAGAAAATGCTTGCATGCCAGGAAAATGGCACGCAACTCTAGGAGATTGATGTGGTATGTGCTCTCTATGGTGGACCATTTGCCCTGAATGCGGTCGCTGTCCATGTGCGCTCCCCAGCCTATAAGAGATGCATCTGTTGTTATGAGCATAGAAGGCTGAGGACGACGGAACGGAACTCCGGAGAGGAGAGTCTCCGTGCGTTTCCACCACCGCAGAGAGTCGTGAACGTGAGGCGGTGGAATGACTGCCTTGCGGATGCTGTCTTTCTGAGGCAAGTATACCTTTCGTAACCAGTGCTGAAGGTCTCTGAAGTGGAGTCTGGCTTGAGGGACCACGAAAGTGGTGGAAGCCACGTGGCCCAGGAGGCGGAGGCACGTATGCACGGACACAGTCGGAGCGATATCGAGGACTTTTATCAGATTCTGTATTGCCTGAAATCTGTCTAGAGGTAGTACTGCGCCTATGAACTTTATATTTTGCGTCGGGACCGTGGTCGACTTCTGTTCGTTTATTATCAGGCCAAGCGAATCGAACGTGTTTCTGGCCAACGAAATCATGTGCAGTCTCTTGGTGCGTTGAGGCCTTTATGAGGCAGTCGTCCAAGTAGGGGAATATAAGGACGTGCTGCCGTCGTAGGTATGCTGCAACTACCGCCAGCGTTTTCGAGAAGACTCTGGGAGCTGCCGCCAGACCGAAGGGGAGAACTCTGTATTGGAAATGGTCGTTGAGTATTGCAAAGCGTAGAAAGCGTCTGTGTGCCGGGTGAATTGTAATGTGAAAATATGCGTCCTGCAAGTCGAGGGCCGCAAACCAATCGCCGCGAGTCAGAGACGGAATTATTGTTGCTAATGTCACCATCTTGAAACGCATTTTTCTCAGATAACGATTGAGAAGTCGCAAGTCGAGAATCGGTCTCCATCCTCCTGACTTCTTTTCTGTCAGAAAGTAACGGGAATAAAACCCTTTCCCCCAGAACTCTTTCGGGACTCTTTCTATGGGCTCCTATGGCGAGCAAGCGTAGGACCTCTTGTCGCAAAAGAGTCTCGTGAGAGGGGTCCCTGAAAAGGGACGGGGTTGGTGGGTGGGTAGGGGGCACTGAAGTAAAGGGGATGGTGAAACCTGATTTCACTATGTCCAATACCCATTTGTCGGTGGTTATTGCGGCCCAACGATGATAATAAGGCCGAAGACGATGATGGAAGATGGGAGAAGTATTGGTAGTAATTGCGGTTGCGACTGGTACGACTGCGCCCTCGATAGACACGTCAAACCTGTTGTTTGGTCTGCGGATGGTTATTCGCCCTGGAAGGTTGCGGGTGCCGGCGTTGCGGCCTCTGTTTGGATCGGGTGTGATCAAACGGACGAGGTTGTTGTCTCTGAAATTGAAAATCATATCGCCTCTGGTATGGGAAGAACCTCCGGCGGCGGAACGGTGGGACGTACATGCCCAGCATACGAAGGGTCGTCCGGGAGTCCTTCCCGGTGTGAAGTAGTTCATCCGTTTTGTCCGCAAACAATTTTAATTTGTCGAACGGGAGGTCTTCAACTTTCGCCTGAAGGTCTCTCGGAGCACCCGCCGCCGCCAGCCATGAAGCTCTACGCATGGATATCGCGGTGGCTATTGATCTCGCAGCCGTGTCCGCAACATCCATGGCTATCTGGAGACTGGCACGAGAGCAAGCGTATCCTTCCTGCACCACCGCGCGCAGAATGGCTTTATCCTCCTCGGAGGCATTCTGGGCCAGACCCGATAGCTTGGCTATGTTGTCAAACCCATGATTGGACAGTAGCGCTGCATAATTGGCAATGCGAAGAAGAAGGGTAGAGGATGAGTAGACCTTTCTACCAAATATGTCCAATTTCTTCGCTTCTTTCTCCGCTGTCGCATTCCTCGCCTGCGGGTTCTTAGCTCGATTCAGGGCTGCGTCCACTATCAATGAGTTCGGTTGGGGATGAGTAAAAAGAAACTCTAAGCCCTTAGAAGGTACAAAATATCTCTTCTCTACCCGTTTGGATGTGGGCGGGATCCCCCCTCTGGAACAGAACTGGGGACACTTGGCATTCTGCGTCGTGGCAAACAGGTCTAGTTTCGGAGTTCCCCATTTGCGAAAGATGTGTCGAAGAACGTCTGCCCTCATTTCCCACTCGTGATCTACTGGGAATTGTCTGCTTAACGAGTCCGCAATAACATTGCTGATGCCAGGTAAGTACGATGCCATGATGGTTACATCGTTCCTTATGCACCAGTTCCACAACCGCACTGCCTCCGCACAAAGGGAACGAGATTTGGCACCCCCTTGCCGGTTTATGTAGTACATCGCCGCTACATTGTCTGTGAGTATCCTGACCGCGGCATGCCTTATGCGTGGAAGAAAATGCTTGCATGCCAGGAAAATGGCCCGCAACTCTAGGAGATTGATGTGGTATGTGCTCTCTATGGTGGACCATTTGCCCTGAACGCGGTCGCTGTCCATGTGCGCTCCCCAGCCTATGAGAGATGCATCTGTTGTTATGAGCATAGAAGGCTGAGGACGACGGAACGGAACTCCGGAGAGGAGCGTCTCCGTGCGTTTCCACCAGCGTAGAGAGTCGTGAACGTGAGGCGGTGGAATAACTGCCTTGCGGATGCTGTCTTTCTGAGGCAAGTATACCTTCCGTAACCAGTGCTGAAGGTCCCTGAAGTGGAGTCTGGCGTGAGGAACCACGAAAGTGGTGGAAGCCATGTGGCCCAGGAGGCGGAGGCATGTATGCACAGACACGGTCGGAGCGATATCCAGGACTCTTATCAGATTCTGTATGGCCTGAAATCTGTCTAAAGGTAAGTATGCCCTTTCCGTGACCGAGTCTAGTACTGCGCCTATGAACTTTATAGTTTGCGTCGGGACAGTGGTCGACTTCTGCTCGTTTAATATCAGGCCGAGCGAATCGAACGTGTTTCTGGCCAACGAAACCATTTGTACGGTCTCCTGGTGCGTTGGGGCCTTTATGAGGCAGTCGTCCAAGTAGGGGAATATAAGGACGTGCTGCCGTCGTAGGTATGCTGCAACTACCGCCAGCGTTTTCGAGAAGACTCTGGGAGCTGCCGCTAGACCGAAGGGAAGAACTCTGTATTGGAAATGGTCGTTGAGCATTGCAAAGCGTAGAAAGCGTCTGTGTGCCGGGTGAATTGTAATGTGAAAATATGCGTCCTGCAAGTCGAGGGCCGCAAACCAATCGCCGCGAGTCAGAGACGGAATTATTGTTGCTAATGTCACCATCTTGAAACGCATTTTTCTCAGATAACGATTGAGAAGTCGCAAGTCGAGAATCGGTCTCCATCCTCCTGACTTCTTTTCTGTCAGAAAGTAACGGGAATAAAACCCTTTCCTCCAGAACTCTTTCGGAACTTTTTCTATGGCTCCTATGGCGAGCAAGCGTAGGACCTCTTGTCGCAAAAGAGTCTCGTGAGAGGGGTCCCTGAAAAGGGACGGGGTTGGTGGGTGGGGAGGGGGAATTGAAGTAAAGGGAATGGTGAAACCCGATTTCACTATGTCCAATACCCATTTGTCGGTGGTTATCGCGGCCCAACGATGATAATAGGGCCGAAGACGATGATGGAAGATGGGAGAAGTATTGGTAGTAATTGCGGTCGCGATTGGTACGATTGCGCCCTCGACAGACCCGTCAAACCTGTTGTTTGGTCTGCGGATGATTGTTCGCCCTGGAAGGTTGCGGGCGCCGGCGTTGTGGCCTCTGTTTGGATCGGGTGTGGTCAAACGGGCGGGGTTGTTGCCTCTGAAATTGGAAATCGTATCGCCTCTGGTATGGGAAGAATCTCCGACGGCGGAACGGTGGGACGTACATGCCCAGCATACGAAGGGTCGTCCGGGAGTCCTTCCCGGTGTGAAGTAGTTCGTCCGTTTTGTCCGCAAACAATTTTAATTTGTCGAACGGGAGGTCTTCAACTTTCGGCCTCTGTTTGGATCGGGTGTGATCAAACGGACGAGGTTGTTGTCTCTGAAATTGAAAATCATATCGCCTCTGGTATGGGAAGAACCTCCGGCGGCGGAACGGTGGGACGTACATGCCCAGCATACGAAGAGTCGTCCGGGAGTCCTTCCCGGTGTGAAGTAGCTCATCCGTTTTGTCCGCAAACAATTTTAATTTGTCGAACGGGAGGTCTTCGACTTTTGCCTGCAGGTCTCTCGGAGCACCCGCCGCCGCCAGCCATGAAGCTCTACGCATGGATATCGTGGTTGATCTCGCAGCCGTGTCCGCAACATCCATGGCTATCTGCAGACTGGCACGGGAGCAAGCATACCCTTCCTGCACCACCGCGCGAAGAATGGCTTTATCCTCCTCGGAGGCATTCTGGGCCAGACCTGATAGTTTGGCGATGTTGTCAAATCCATGATTGGACAGTAGCGCCGCATAATTGGCAATGCGAAGAAGAAGGGTAGACGATGAGTAGACCTTTCTACCAAATATGTCCAATTTTTTTGCTTCTTTCTCCGCTGCCGCATTCCTTGCCTGCGGATTCTTGGCTCGATTCAGGGCTGCGTCTACTATCAGTGAGTTCGGTTGGGGATGAGTAAAAAGAAACTCTAAGCCCTTAGAAGGTACAAAATACCTCTTCTCCACCCGCTTTGATGTGGGCGGGACAGAGGCCGGGGTGTGCCATATTTCTGAGGCTGGTTCAAGGATCGCCTCCGAGGCTGGTTCAAGGATCGCCTCATCAATTGGGAGCGCTGCTCTGGACTGTTGCTTGGGATGCAGGTTTTTAAGAAATTTGTAGTGCTTCATCTGAACGTCCGCCGCATGAACGTTCTGCGTGTCAGCTACTTGCTTAAAAAGATCTTGGAACTCCCGACTGTCGTCCGGGGGTGAATCGTTCCCTTGAAACACCGCTTCGTCCGGAGAGGATGAGGCAACGTCAGGTGAAGATATTGCGTGCGAGGGGGCATCCTCATCTGAAATTTGACCCTCCTCAGGATCAGACATTTGAGGAGGAGGTGAGGGAGCAGCTGCCTGAATCCTTTGGGTTTGAACCAACTGTTGCGGTGGACCCACTGGCGACTGGTGCCCATGCTGCGAGGTACGGCAGCGACAAGAATGAGGTGACCAAGACCTTGAGTAAGCATATGGGGAATAGTCAGTCTCTCGATGACGGTAAGGATAATCGGGGGATGGTCTCCTAGATGAATAGGGAACGCTGTATCTGCTTCCATATGACCTCGAAGGTGAGCGGGATGGTGAGCGAGATCTAGGAGAGCGCATCCCGAAGTGCGGAATGGGATGTCTGTAGACATGCGTGTAGTGCGGCCTCGAGTAGTGGTACGGAGAACGTGAGGCGCGATAGTAACGCGAGTCCCTCAGCGAATGATATCGCGGGGGGGAGGGAGACGGTGCCGGCGAGAACTTTGGAGATGGCGAAGGATACGATCTTCGAGGAACCGACTTTCTTTGAGCCTTTGTCGGTACCGCACCTTTGTGAGGAGAGTGTCTGGAGACGCGATCGTCATCGAGAATGCGGTACCGAAACTGATGGGGAGGGAAGCTGACTCTCCGGTGCCTTAGGCGGAACCGGGGTACTACGGTCCGCCGGTGCCGTAAACCCCTTCTTAAGCGCATGCGGTGCCGCCCCCGACGCCGAGGCATGGCTGTCGCTCGGCACCGCGTCAGGTGCCGTAGGCATTAGGCGCGTCGGTGCCGTCTGGTCTATCGGTGCCGATGGTTGGGCCAGCGCCGACTGCGGCGCCGTAGCATGTTTCCGCACCGATGGTGCCGACGTCTTATGGTCGGACAGATCTATAGGGTGCCGGTCTCGACTTATCGGTGCCGATTGTTGCCTGGTATGGCTGGGGGCAGTGGACGGTGCCGGCGCTGAAGACGACCGTCCCACCGATTTACCTCTGTCTCGCTTGTGCTTTGTGGGCTTGTAACCCATTCCAGAGGTACCCGGCTGGTCACCCTCGCTGATTCTAGATCGAGGGACCGCGGCCAGAGAGCGCGCTGGGGAGACTCGCTTAGCTTTCTTTTGAGTCGACCCGCTCAGCGGTGGAGACGTCTTCTTATGAGTCCGGGAAGACTCTCCTTGGGGCGTTTCAGAGGGCTGTAAAGCCTTGTCAAACAAGATAAGCTTCAGCCTCATGTCTCTGTCTTTACGTGCCCTGGCCGTTAACTTCGAACAATGGGCACATTTTCCCGGCACATGGGTCTCTCCCAAGCAGCGTATGCACGCGTCATGGCCATCTGACGCTGGCATGGGGTCTTTGCACAGGGAACATTTCTTAAACCCCGGAGAGCCGGGCATTATATATTTTCTACAGATAACCAATAATAGAGAAAAAAACCATAACGTAACTATCTATTGAACTTCGAGAAAAAAAAATTTTTTTTTAAACGAACAAACGACTAACTAATTAACTAATTAACAATAAACTGTGGAAAACTTGTGAAAATTTTAACGTTTTATATCTAAAGGATCTGTCTCTGAGGAGAGAATCCGATGTCCGTCAGCAACCTAGGACGGTTGAAAGGAACTGGCGGGGGGGCCGGACCACGCGACTGAAGAAACCGCGCGAAGCCTGCCGTGCATGCGCGGTCTGGCCAGTTACGGCTACGAAAAGCCTCCGATCAGCGGCGCCGGGACGAGCCCGACACCTGGAGTGGAGCACCCACGGGGACCACTCGAAGAAGAACCTCCTCTTCATTGGGTTCTGGCCTCCAAATTTTCCTGATGTCCCTGAATTGCTCTGAGCCTCCCCATCTCTCCCAGCTGCTCTTTATAGGGAAATCATCTGATATCTCTTGATTGTGGCTCTTTTAGTAATCAAAGTTGACTAGTCTTAGTCATTCCATTTTTAAAAAGAAGTCATTCTATTACACCCCCACCCTGCTTCTTGGAACTCACCCTCTCCAGAACAAATTGTATCTACACTTCCTTTTGTTTTAATTCACTAGTGCCTTCTGTTTCATGACTTGGGGTCTGAGCCCTAAGTCTCCACTACATCCTCTAGAGCCTTCGCAAATCAGAGGCAAGCTCTTTAGCCCAAGCAGAATGTTTCTGAAACTGAAAGCCCTCCAGCCCTTTCATTTTGTTGATATTTGCACTCTGTCCTGGAGGATCTTCTGACCATCATTCCTTTCATCCTCCACATATCTATTTGCAATTACAACACTTCTTGTCAGTTGTTAACTCATTTCTCTCTTTCAGGGCACACTGCTTAGCTTCTTCCAAAGCAGCCATTTCTATTCAGTGCTTCTCAGCTTATCAAAGCAGCACTCTTACAATCTCTCCTCCCAATGCTGCACTTATGGCAGGGTGGGCAAGAAATGGTCCAGGAACTGGATCTGGCATGCCAAGCCTTTCAATCCGGCCTGCCACCCACACTACTGGACACATAGGCTGAGAGCAGCTCCAAGGCTCAGAGTGCTGGCTGCTCCATCTGCCTCTCTGTGCTGAGTTGGGGGTATGGGGGAAGCTTCATGCACTACAAACCACTACAAACCACGCTCCATTAGCATGATCTCGCCAGCGTGCTAGTTCGAATCACAGATGATTCAAACCAGGAAGTGCACGCCGGGACACGTTAGTTCAAACCAAAGCCCTTGGTTCGAACTAACGTTACTCCTCATTTTTTGAGTAACGTTAGTTATGAAGAGTAATGTTAGTTCAAACCAAGGGTTTTGGTTCGAACTAACGCGTCCCGGCATGCACTTCCTGGTTCGAATCGGCTGTGATTCAAACTAGCGCGCCAGTGAGATCATGCTAATTGAGCGCAGGATATTTAAATCCCAGCATCATTAGATACTTCACTCGTCTGCATTTGCATCCCTAGTCCAAAATAGGGAGCAAATGTAGATGTACCCTCTCAGACTCTACCCTTTCCTGAACCCTAATCCCCTATCCCAAACTCCCTTCTGCACCCAACCTCCATCCCAGACCCTGCACCCCCTCCAGAGAAAAGTGTGACCCTTGACCACTTACCAACATTTTGGTGTGGCCCCCCCTATCAAAAATTATTGCCCACCTCTGCCTTATGGTCTTATTTAGTGTGTCATCTACACATAGTGCTGCCACAAACGCTGAGTCTATCTTTATTTCAGCTTCCTAGTGTATATCTTTCTTACCAATACTGCACTTTCCCTGCTACTCAACAGCTTCTGCTCAAGCCTATAGTCTAATAGCTTCCTTAAATAAGCTCTCTCACCTCATTAGCTTCCTCTTTCATCTTCTGTTTCATTTTCTTCACCTGGTCTATTAGTCTCTTGAGCTCAATCTTCAGATTTAGTTCCTTCTCCCTCCAATCTTAATTAGGGGAGGAATCTGTCTTTCAAGTCCTTGCATTTCAAGGCAGCACATTAAAGCACTTTCCTATCCTAGGAGATTTTGATACTGCAGATTGCTTCTGCACCTTATCTGCACAATCTTCATAGGGATCTACTACATGTTCTCTTCCTCTCTGGTCTCTGTGGCTGGGGGAATTTTTTCCTATGGCTTGCAGGAATCTCTTCCTAACCAAACACCATTTTCCACATATCCATTGTATTTTCAACCCAATGCATCTATCTTTTCACACTTCAAAGCATTTGGGCTGTTTCCTTCACCACCTAGTGTCATTCTCTATCAATTCTCTGTTTCTTATCAGGCCACTTGCCCCATATGGAATACAAACTGTCCATATCCTGGTTTTCCACACTGAAAACAGATGACTAAGGCAAACTGCTCTTGCTATTGAATCCATGTAGGTCAAAACAGTCAGAGCTGAAAACTATAAGGATATAGTGGAGTATGCCAAGGAGGTGACATCGCAAGGCATGAGGAGTTTAAAGTGTATGACCTCTGAAGATGAACTGGGAGGAACCTGAGCCCCTTGAGCCTGTTTGTAGGCCAGGGAATCCAAAAAGGCCACCATTTTGGTGGTGGCCACTGAGGCTGCCAGACCATGCAAGTGTCTCTTTCGTTTTCTGGATCCTCACCTACTGGTATAGGCAAACAATGCTTGTGACATTGAGGACCCAGACGGGGAAGGATCAGAATAGGGATGATGAGCTCTGAGCTGGCAGACAGTGCCCTGTAGAAAAGGCCTGGGAAAGGAGCACACCAAAGATTAGTATGCGTTGTACCTCAACTGGGAATGGTTCCGGTCACTTGGTGCTGGAAATTTCTCAAAGCCAGATGTTTTGGCAAGCTCTCTATCAATGCCATACAATGTTGCAATGGTGCCAGTGCCAGAGAAGAATGCAGAGGCAACAAAGATCAGGAATGAGCAGAGACCTCGATGCTTAGATGTAACAGGTTGAAGAGCAAGTAATTCTCAAAATTCCAATTTCTAAACATCAAGTGTAGTCCTCTTCCAATATTTTTCTCAAGTAGTATCCTCCAATATCTACATCTCTTACTAATTTTGGCATCATCTAGTGAGAAATGCAGTACCTCTAAATATTATAATTCCTTTTTCTGAAGAAATGGCAACAATTAATTTAATGTTCTGATAAGTTCTAAGTACACAACAATACCACTGATGCTCTGTTTCATAAAACTCCTAAAAGCATTTTTCCATTACACATCCTGTGTGACAATTGAACAATGGTAGCACATATGAACTTCCAGAGAGGAATACAGAGCAAAAATCTCAATCACAAGTAGCAAAATTCTTTCATTCCCGGAGAAGCAAAGCCTGTGTACCATAACAACATACACAAAGTGCAAGAAAAACTTCCAGGCTGAAATGCATGTACTGTATTTTCAACTATAGTTGTTCTCTAACTAAAATTCAGTCAATTACTTACGCAAAAATGAAATAGAAATGTAAATTAGCTAGCTGAAAGAAATAACCGCTGATTAACTAAATTTAAGTTGGGGACTTTTGACAATATGGGAAGAGCAAATGATAATTACCAAAGCTTTACTTTATCTCCTTGGGAATCTTAATTCTTCTTCCTCCCCCCCCCGCCTTAGAATACTTGAAGACTTAAGATTCCATGTTTTTTATTAGAGAAAAGCTTGCTGTGCCTTATCAGATTTATGCTAATAGAAATAAGAAGATTTAATACACACAACACTTCTAACAATTTAATATTGTAATTATAATTAAATTGCATAGGTTTGTTACTGCACTGACATTCAACACCTATAAAACTTTTGTTGTTATTTTTAGACATATGTTAGTTTTTAAGTTGAATCAACTTAGATGTAAACAACATAGAAGGCATTATTCAATAGGAAGCTATAATACTAAGCTTTATTATATAAAAGTTAACATAAAATGATG